TACTCCTTAAGATTAATAAGATAAAGAACACAACTTTTAAAACTTAGCAAGATATGTTAACAGACACTTACCAGAGAAAAAATTAAGGTTTGTCAGTGGAAAAAAATCAAAAGATGCTCAGTCTCACTAGTACTATCAGGGAACTTCAAATGGAAATCACTGGGGACTACAGTTTTATACTCAGACTGAGAAGAAGGAAATAGACTGACAATAATAAGAATTGGTGACGTGGTGCAACTGGAAGTCATACTGATAAATGTATGAACTTACCGACCAGTAAGTGTATGAATTGGTAGAAACACTTTGGAATACAATGTGAATTTACCTTGTAAAGTAGAACCATGCCCATTACTTAGTAATCCTATTCCTATGGAGAAGGAATTCTTGATACATGCATGTATCAGCAGACAAGTATAAAAAGCACTATTGTCGGACCTCCCTGGTAGCACAAGGGGTTAAGATGCAACCTATGAAGCTCTCCACAGTCACTGCAGCACTAGTTCGATCCCCGGCCAGAGAGCTACCCACATGGCGCAGCAGATCTCTCCTGTCGTGCCCACTGCTCCCCTCAGCAGTATATTTTGGTCGTCTTCCTGTTCTGCTCCCCGCTCTGTCTCTGGTGAATCCTCTCACCCTCCCATGCCTCTGGCCTGTACCCCAGCTCTTGTATAAAAATAAATAAATCTTTAAAAAAAAGAACAGTAGATGGTTTTATATTCACAGGGCATACCTCTGGAATGTGTGGTTTTGCATGTCAAATTCATTTCAAATTGATTATAACTGTACTCTGGGAACTTCAGTAGAGCAATTGGTTAGCGTGCGGTACTTATACAACTGTATTCTGATACTTATACAACTGGTACTTATACAACTGTATTCTGACTCCAGATACATCCTATTAACAAGAAGGTTCAAAGATTTGCCCTAAAATAGCATTGGTGATGGCTGTGAGATCTGAAAGTTTAAGGCCATTCAAGAAACGGAAGATGGTGAGCTCACTCCCAAACTATACACATGAAAGAGTCCTATATTCCTTTCAAATGAGAAAAAAAAATTCCAATGCTAATCATGAGACTTTGATGAATGAAAGACTGTTTGGCCTACTCCATCCTAGACACATTCAAGATTTAGAATTTCCAAAACTAAAGAACTAAGTAAAAAATTAACTTACAGGGCCTCCCTGGTGGCGCAGCGGTTGAGCGCTGGGTTGCGAAGCTGCCCGCAGCCTCTGCAGCGCCGGTTCGATCCCCGGCTGCTCCCCGGCCACTGGAGGAGGGTCCCGCATGGCGCGCAGACCTCTCCTGCCGCCCGCTGCTCCTCTCAGCAGTGTACTTCAGTCCTTCTGCCTGCTCTGCTCCCCGCTCTGGCTCTGGTGAATTCTCTCACCCTCCCACGCTTCTGACTGTACCCAGTGCATGTATAAATAAAATAAATAAATAAAATCTTTAAAATAAAAAAAAAATTAACTTACATTAGAAGCTAAGACATGCCCATAATCTTCTTGTCTAGAGCTATAGATAAGCAACAGACCAACATTTTAAAGTTCTCTAAAAGGAGTTCTTTTTAATAATTTGCAGAATTACTATAATTGTCATAAAAAGCAATCCCATTATGTTCAATTTCCTTACTAATTATTGGGGACCCTGATTTAAGTATACTTAAATAATTATAACTGAGTGTTTTTAACCCATGAAATGTTCATTTCAAATCTTGGTACAAATATTAGATAAATATTAAGAAAATGTCTTGCATTGTTTATTATTTACCATGAAAACAGAATCTATAGTTTTCTCACTCTGGAGACAGAGTTCATATATTTGTAAAACTTAATAAGCCATGTGTAGGTGTAGTTAATGCTTCAAAGAGTCTGTGACACCAATTCCTAATAGAACATTTTAAAGAAGATAATATTCCTCATGGCTCCTAGCTGAGAGTAATGGTTCTCTAACCTCTTGAAATCTTTTATTTCTATAAAACAAAAGTTAAAATGTGAACAAAACAAAGGTCTTCAAGTGTGTTAAATTTTTTTTTAAAGAGAGATAAATTACTAACATTTTCAGTAAAACATTCCCACAAGTATTTCCTCCTTTGATAAAATCATCCTGAGACTCACTGGCAGCTAAATAAAGATTTAGATCAACTGAGTTCATGAAGTGGCTGAACCACACCTAGGATTCAGGTCTTCTCACTTGCATGACCTAGAAGAAAATTTAATAAACATTCATATTGAATTTTGGAATAGGTATATAAACATATACACCTGTATCTGGTAGCCTGAACATAACTGACACTGCTGATTAAGACCAACTACAAACTGTTGGTCTTAATTGTGCAACTTATTTTTCTAGAATTAGTATATGTGATCATACACTTACATATGTCTGCCTTTGCAATTGCTTGGACAATACCAAGACCTTGGGTCTAACTACTAAGAGGATAATTTGATCCAGATTCCTTCAAATGCAATTGGCCAAAAATTAAACTTGTCTTCCTTGACAAACTGCTTGTACTCAAAATCTTTTCATGAGACATCTTACCTGTTTCCAGCCCCTAGTATTAACACTGTCCTCACTATTGCCCCTGCAGAATATGGGTGGCCATGGTTTATTCATATGATGCTGCATCTCTTCATCATGGTTTATTGGGCAGGGAGGGATGCTGTACCTGAGGCCACAATATGGTATGCAACCTCCTATTTACATTTCCAGGCTCAAGGCCAATGAGAGATTCATGCTCTTTGAGACACAGAAGCTGAAGATCATGTAGAATTAATGTTTTAGATAATCTTTTTAAGGTCTATGGAATGAACTTGATTCCAAAGTCTCAGGAGCATGCATATCCAGCTTGGAATACTTTTGATGATCTTGGGTATTTGCTGCATTTCATGTGATGCCAAAAGATCACCAGATGAGACTTCTAATACAAATATTTCTGAATTGGCAGGTCAACCACTTGTCTTTCTGACACAAGAGAAGTTGTGTTGTTTTCATGGAACATGGGTCATTACAATAGTTGTGTCTATGGGCAGGGTGTATGTGTGACTGGAATGGAATGAGATTATGAAAGTGCTGCAAGCTGTTTTCAAATCAATATGGACTCAAAGTTTCCCTTACATTAGTTAAGAAGTCAACTGACATGTATTGTTATTTGCTAACATGAGTCATTCTGCTTTGACTGCTTTTTAGATTTACTCAACCATTTTGTTTTCAGCTGTCTCACAATAATAGGCCTAAGTAATGGTTATTTTGTATTTATCCTGGATTTGTAAATTTATATGTTGTACCAAATTTGGGTAATTTCAGCCTTTATTTCTTCAAAAAATTTTATCTTCTGTCAATATCTGGGGTTCCAATTGCACTTGTTGGCCTTGTTAATAATGTTCTGCAAATACTGAGTCTATTCTGGTCCTTTTGGAGTCATTTTTTCTTCTTATTTAAATTGGATATGTTTTTAATCTATCTTCAACTTTACTGATCGTCTTCTGCTATCTCTAAACTGTGACTCAGACCATGCAAGAAGTTTTAGAATTGTACTTTTTAGAATTTCTTTTGGGTTCTTTTTGTATATTCCATTTCTCTGTAAAAACTCAATGTCTTTTCATTAATCTCAACTGCATATTCCCTTAAATTCTTGAACATATTTATAATAACTGTGTAGTCTTTGTTTCCTAATTGTGTTATCTAAAAAGTTATGGTTGATTACTGTGACCTATTCCCTTGAGCATAACGAACATTTGAATCTTTCTTAGTATGTCTAAGATACTTTTTAGAATCAACTTGATTATAGTCTAATCTACATACAAGGAAATTAGTTCACTCTAGGTATATAGTACATTTTGAGAAATGTAAGTAAATGTGCAACTAAATTCACAATAAAGCTATAGAAAATTTTCATTACCCAGAAGTTATATTTGGCTTTTCTCAGTTTTTTTAATACATTCCCACACCTAGTCCTAGGCAACAATTAGTCTGCTTTTTATCACACATCAGTCTTATCTAATTTTAAATGAATAGAATCAGGTAGTATGTACTTTTTGGTTTCTGTTCTTTAGCAAAGCAGCATATTTCTGACTCAAACCTGTTGTAGCAATAGCTCATTCATATTTATGCTAAGTAGTATTTCATTAATATAGCATAATTATTTGTTCATCTATTGATGGACTTTTAGGTTATTTACAATTATTGAATATTATAAATAAGCTTGGTATGAACCTGTACTAGTTTTTCATGTGGATATATGCTTTCATTCCATCAAGGATGAAATGGCTAGGATGTATGGAAGGTGTATGCTTGACTTTTTAAGATGCTGCCCATTTTTCAAAGTGATAATATCATTTAACATA